TAAGTTTCTACACTGATATCTAGAGGTAACCCTGGCAATAAATGATGAAGTGAAGGAAGACTAAGTTCACCACTTTGAAGTCAAATGAAGATTGCATCAACATTCATGCATTCATAAGAACATCATTTGTACAATAGACTGCATTCAAACATGAAGTTTTACAGATCTTTGGAAGAACAAGAAGATTCATGGTAAGAAATACATTACAAGAAGAAGGTATTCAAAACCGTAAATACATGAATCATGCAAACATCTGAAGAATAGATTGACGTAATCCACAAAAATGAGCATTATCTTGAGATTGGGGCATGTTACCCAATCAACATGTTATTTCAAAAAAAAACATAATGAGAAAACGATTTTCATAGTTTCTCATTTTATCTTTTCTAAAATGAAATTGTTAAAAAGTAAGAAAACGATTTTCTTAGTTTTTTTACTTAGTAAACTATTTCCAACAACCTTATCTTGAGATTGGGGCATGTTACCCAATCAACATGTTATTTTGAAAATAATGGGAAAACGATTTCCATAGTTTCTCATTCAATCTTTTCTAAAAATGAAATTGTTGAAAAGTAAGAAAACGATTTCCTTAGTTTTTTTTACTTAGTAAACTATTTCCCACATCTGTAAGTCTTGCAGTGCATAATGTTTCCAAAAAGCCTTCGGGAGCTTTTTGATGTTGTTATTTTGAAAAATAATGAGAAAACGATTTCCATAGTTTCTCATTTTATCTTTTCTAAAATGAAATTGTTGAAAAGAAAGCGATTTCCTTAGTTTTTTTTACTTAGTAAACTATTTCCCACATCTGTAAGTCCTGCAGTGCATGGTGTTTCCAAAAAGCCTTCGGGAGCTTTTTGATGTTTTCAAAGCCTTAGGGTCATCTGTAAGTCCTGCAGTGCATGATGTTTCCAAAAAGCCTTCGGGAGCTTTTTGATGTTTTCAAAGCCTTAGGGTCATCTGTAAGTCCTGCAGTGCATGATGTTTCCAAAAAGCCTTCGGGAGCTTTTTGATGTTTTCAAAGCCTTAGGGTCATCTGTGAGTCCTGCAGTGCATGATGTTTCCAAAAAGCATTCGGGAGCTTTTTGATGTTTTTAAAGCCTTAGGGTCATCTGTAAGTCCTGCAGTGCATGATGTTTCCAAAAAGCCTTCGGGAGGTTTTTGATGTTTTTAAAGCCTTAGGGTCATCTGTAAGTCCTGCAGTGCATGATGTTTCCAAAAAGCCTTCGGGAGCTTTTTGATGTTTTCAAAGCCTTAGGGTCATCTGTAAGTCCTGCAGTGCATGATGTTTCCAAAAGCCTTCGGGAGCTTTTTGATGTTTTCAAAGCCTTAGGGTCATCTGTAAGTCCTGCAGTGCATGATGTTTCCAAAAAGCCTTCGGGAGCTTTTTGATGTTTTCAAAATCTTAGGGTCATCTATAAGTCCTGCAGTGCATGATGTTTCCAAAAAGCCGTCGGGAGCTTTTTGATGTTTTTAAAGCCTTAGGGTCATCTGTAAGTCCTGCAGTGCATGATGTTTCCAAAAAGCCTTCGGGAGCTTTTTGATGTTTTCAAAGCCTTAGGGTCATCTGTAAGTCCTGCAGTGCATGATGTTTCCAAAAAGCCTTCGGGAGCTTTTTGATGTTTTCAAAACCTTAGGGTCATCTGTAAGCCCTGCAGTGCATGATGTTTCCGAAAAGCCTTCGGGAGCTTTTTGATGTTTTCAAAACCTTAGGGTCATCTGTAAGTCCTGCAGTGCATGATGTTTTTAAGACCTCTGGAATGATGTTTTCAACATTTCAGTCTTACTCAAAAAAAGAAAAATGAAAAAAAATTATTTTTTTTACGTCTTTGCTCTATTCTTGTTAACACAAGAATAAGCAAAGAGGGGCAGCTGTAAACACTAATTTTTTTCATTTTTGTTTTTATTATTATTATTAAAATTATTATTATTATTATTAAATATTATTATTAAATATTATTATTATATTATAATTATTATTTACAAAGTTACAAACAAAACTGGACCGGCCAAGTTACAAATAAAACAGAACCGGCCCAGACCAACCAGAAACCCTAAACATTTGGGGTTTCAGCTAGGTTTCTAAACCCTAGCCCCCCAACCACCTCCAAGATTCTAGAAGGCCAGCCACCGCCTCTGCTCAGCCGCCACCTCCACGTTGCCGTCAGTGCCACGCCACCCCATCGAAGCCTCCAGAAGCGCCTCGTCACCACCCAAGTTGCTGCTCTAGGGGTGAGTCACCACATAGTTCGGTGACTCACCGAACTCGACTTTATACCCGGTCCGACGAGAGCCTCATCGAGGCTATAAAGCCATCACCTGCAAGACGAAAAAAAGGGGAACAACAACAAACAGAAAAAAAAAGAAGAGAGAGAAAGAGATACGAACAACCAGAGCAAGAACTACAGACACGAGAGCAAATCAACACCCAACAACAACCAAATAAAGGAGAAGAGGAAAGGAGACTTACCAAGGGAACTGCCGTCATCAGAGCCTCCCTACGTCTTTGAAACCGAAAGGTCGAAGGTAAAGAACCTTAGATCTACATATTTTGGTAATGATCTAGGTTAAAATACCCTCGGATTTGGCTTTAGGGAAAGTAGGGCTTCGATTTAAGGTATATATGTAATTTTCCGGCCACCATTAACGGTGGCCGACGGTGGAGACCGACACCGGAGTACGGTGTCCAGCGATTGTCGGAATTCCCTCTGGTTAGAGGAAGTTAGAGAGAGGCGAGAGAGTTTTATAAACTCTCTCAGTTAGAAAGAGACGAAGAAGAGAGGAAATGAGGGATGCTGGGCCTACGGGCCAGCCATTTGGTCTTATATACCCCTCCCAAACGACGCCGTTTTGGGTAGGGGTATATCTGTAATTTCGTGCACGGGTCAAACCACTCGCGTAGTCATCCTAGCTTTGTAAATTTCTATTTTAGTCACTACAATCAACTTCTAATTATTTAAAATTTAGTCTTTACATTTTATTTTATTTTATTTTAGTCCTTATCTGCATATATATTTATTTAGGGTAAATACCTAATTTAGTCCTTTACAGTTTAGTAAATATCATTTTAATCTGAATTAATTAAATAAGGCTAAATTATATTATTATCACTTAGATCTTTTTATCATTCGAGTTAGAACCTTTAATTTTAATGATCATTATTTTAATCACCTATTAATAATTAGGGTTAATTACATCATTAGTAATTATATTTTTATAATATTATAAATAAGGGCTGTAAATTTTAATTTTTAATATTTTTATTTATTTTAATATGTTTTAGTCCCTATTTAATTATAATTTAATTTGTATTATTATCATTTCAAATCTAATATGTTTAAATGATTACTTTAATTATTATTTTATTATTATTTTAGTCATATAAATATATATAATAAATAATATTTATTTATTTATTTTCTTTGTTTTCTATGAAATAAAAATCCTATTTATGAACTATATATGTTTAATTTTATTTTATTAAGAAAATGATTTAGATATTTATTTATTTTTTAATATTGAAGAAAAGAGCTGTCTTAAAGTAACTAGAAGCTCTTTTCTAATATTTTTAAATAAATAAATATCTTACTATATTAAAATAAATTTTTTGTTTTAGTTATTTATTTATATCGAAGAAAAGAGCTGTCTTAAAGCACCTAGAAGCTCTTTTTTGATATTTCTAAATAAATAAATATCTTATTTATATATATTATTATATTTTCTTAAAATTATAAATTTGAAATAAAAGGATTATGAATTAAATATATTTGAATTTTTTTATTTTCTAATAATAGAGACAATTTATAATTAAAAAGTACCAATTTTGGGCGTTGTAGGGGTGCTAATCCTTCCCTAAACGTAACCGACCACGAATCCCTTTTTATTATTAAAAAGAACGAATTTTTTGGTTAAAACGCAGATCAGTTCATCTTTTAACTGATATTTTCTTAAAAACTCTTTTAAAAGATAATTTTTAGGTAATCGACCTACCTAACCCAAAAGGTCGATGGCGACTCCTAAAATTATTTAAAAAAAAAATCCATTTATTCACATCACTTTTTCCGCCAAGTATTTAAAATTTCGTGCCCGGACGAAAACCGGTTACGACAGGAAGTAAGTGTTCTTTTCTCTTCTCTTTGAAATGACATTCAAGGATTTAAATTGCGGTATGCTATCAGAATAGTGGCCGATATATAATGGTTTTGTTGTCGTTTGAAACCAATATTGTTCGAATGCGATACCGGCATTGACTGCATTATCACCCATTATTTCTGCAATCAAGATAAACACATTTGAAAATGTGAGCGCAAGCAATTTAAGTCCCTGATGGCATTCCTTTCATTGTTGTAATCTATTTAATTATGGATTTATGGAATGGTAGAAATTGATATTGCTCAGCTCCATGCATATTTACGAAGCCGGTTACTTTCATGGTTGTGTATGATTGTTTTGCGTTGATTCTAATTGTTAGCAATTTTGGCGAATTACTGAATATTGATATCTTAGTTTACTAGTCGCTTAGCGAACATCAAAATTGTTAAGTAAGGTTTCTTATTATCATACTCGGTGTTAATTGGCAATCTTGGTTGGCTTGGCTTGCTTTCTCTCGAATGACCTAACTCTTCCAATATTCTTATTTGTTATTTGTAATTCCAGAGGTAGTGTTTGGGAACTTGAATTTCAAATGATTTAATTGTCAATTTTTTTGAGATGCCATTCCTATTCATGGCTAGAGCATTTATGATATATATCCACCACATATGTAGGCATGAGATGAATGATTCCCTTACTGTTGATACTTTTTCTGCCCTACATATAGGTTCATTATCTTCTTCGGCTTAAAGAGGGGATTGTCTATGTTCATTTTGGGTAAAACTGAGTTAGAAACTTTAGAATGGGTAATTTCTTGACAAACATGGTTGATTGATCTTAGGATTCATTTGCTAATTTTTCCTGGTTGATTGTCGAAAGTCATGAAGCTAATCCCTTTTTTAATTCTGCAGACAATAATGATCTGGGAACTGCATGCGGGAAGTACTTCCGTGTATCCTGCTTGAGTATTGTCGACCCAGGTAACACCAAGTTTTAATTCTCTTGAATGTTGCTCTATACAAATTGATCGTCGCTGATTTCTAACTATTCCTTTCTCTGATTGGCAGGTGATTCCGACATCATCAAGTCTCTACCCGGTGACAACTGAGTCAATCACCCCTCCTGGGACAGCACAAAAATGTTTGTTTCTTATTATATTGTTTCACTTAGCCCTCTTCTCCCATGTTCTGTGGATGCCATTGGCAAAATTTGTAGCTTTAAGTAGAAAACCTTGTTTGGTTAATGACACGCTGCCGCAGGTTTTTCATTTTAATGTTGCATCATCCTCTGTAAAGAAATGTTGCTTTGTGTTATGAATACAGGTATGTCCAGCATTTTATTAAAGCAAATTGATTTTGCTTCCGGAAGGATTACAAAATTAAAGAAATTATCTTAATTCCTGTCATATTAATAATAAATGAAAAAAAATCACTTGGTTTCCGACATGATCGGCTCTAGTTGAGGCCATGCCCTCATGAGATACCTCCGAAACAAGCCGTCCATGAGAAATCCTGGTCTCGTTTCCATTACTATCCCTTCAACGAAAGATGGCCAACTCTTTTGCTAATGTAATTCAATGTACTAATGATTAAAAACTTAATATAATGATTAAAACTTAATAAAATGATAACACAAGTGTTCGAATTTGACTTTTAAAATTTTGGCAAGTACAAATGCAAGAGGAATGCAACTATTCTAATAGTTCACCCAATTTATTTATTTTTTGGATAAATAGTTCACCCAATTAATTACTAATGACGTGTTTATAATAATATTTTAATTAAATAATCTGTTTATACTTTTTTAAAGGATAAATTATATTGTTTATTCACTAAATTATTGTTTTTGTTTCATTTTGATATCCAAAATTTATGTTTTTTTAAACCATAATTAATGTTTAGTTTAAGTTTCAATTTGGTATCCGTCATTAAAAACTTAATGGTAATCTTAATGTGCTACTATATGGTAATATCACATCATCATTAAAAACAAAAATATCACGTCAGCATTCGTATTATTTTTTAACAGTAAGTATCAAATTGAAATCTAAACTAAACATTATGTATGATTTTGAAAAAAATAAAGTTTGGGTGCTATAAAATAATAGTTTAGATACTAAACCTGTATTTTACCCTTTTTTTAAAAAATAACTCATTTATTACTAAGTACATAGTTACAGCGTATTTTACTACCTAACCTTATAAAATTGAAGGACCCTAAAACCTCCGTGTTTTCTCTCCTTACAACGCATTGCTTTCCTGTTTTAAACGTTTTTCTTCGTTCTTTAACTTTGAGACAAGAAATAGCGTTTTTAGGGTTTCTCCCTGTAATTTGTGTTTTAGGGTTTCTTTCTATTATTTATGTTTTCTTGTAGCTTTTAGGCGCTTATGATTAAATTCGTTGTCTCGTAGTTCTAAATTATCTCTTTCGTATCATCGTCGTTCTAAATCAGCTTCCTGTTTTAGGGTTTATGTGACATGCATGCCATTGATTCTTATCGCAGTTCGAATCCTTTCATTCTCTGCATATCCTCTGATTTGGAAATACCCTCCTTTGTTTTCCTAGTTGAATCCACTTTTTGTTCCTTTTCCGCTTCTGGGTTTAAAGATCCCAGCCTACTTCAATTTGGGTGATTATTAGGGTTTTAATTGTTTCGTGTTTAGATTTCATTTCAGAGGGCCACCCCTCGTTCCCCTAAAAATTGTTTAAAAAACTGGGGCTTTGGGCATTGTTTAGGGTTTTTTTTGGGAGGGTGTGTGATGAATAGTATATTTAGCGAACAGATACTTGCAGATAAGCTCTCCAAGCTCAACAATACTCAGCAGTGTATTGAAAGTATCCTTTTTGTTCTTTCTTTCCTTCTTTTATTTCCCTCCAAAATTATTATTTGTTAGTCAGCTGATTTAAGTTGTTTGTATTAGCAGAGGAGAAGAGAAGTAAAGTGTTACGAGTTCTCTGTTCTACGTTTGCTTGTAATGCTTTGTATATTCTTCTTTGATGCATTTCTTTTTCAAAGAAAGTATTTTAATTGGAATGTGAGTTTTTTTTTAAGTAGAGCTAATCCTATGTCTATTTGAGTTTGCTTGTGTTATTTTTCCAGCTAGCTCAATTTATGTATATTTTCGTAGCACCTTTTTTTATGATTCATAGTGCACTATTTGATAGTTGCAACTGCTAATATGATCAAAATTGATGTTTTGAAGAAAATTGCTGCAATTGGATGATGCAGATCTTATAAGTCGCTCAATTTTGTAGATCTTTAATAGTTTTACTTTCATTTTGTTAAGGTGTTCATAAACAGCAATGCTAGGACAATAAGATGACATTAACTAATAGACTCACAGATTTGCTATAACATCCGTTGCATTTGAAATTTCATGAGGTGAAATCATTGTTGAACTTGGGTTTCTTTGACTTTGAACTGTGTGAGATGGTCACTGTACACAAAATTTTCTTGTGTGACTTTGAACAAGCAATTTTACCTGGTCGTTTCCATGAGGACTGCGAGTTTGATGTAGCTTCAACTGTTTAACTGCAAAATTTAATTTCAGCTATCTAATCTTCTTTTGGTGGCATATTGTGCTATTGCATTGATCTAGAATTTCATATGGTACATTTCCTTGACCTATCCTAGCATTGTCTCACTGGTGTATATTTCACCAAAGCAAGGCAGAATTGGTTGTTGCAACATGGGATAAACAGTTTCACAGCTCACAGATGGCTCAGAAAGTCCCTCTCTTGTACCTTGCGAATGATATTCTACAGAACAGCAAACGCAAAGGAAATGAATTTGTTAATGAGTTCTGGAAAGTCCTTCCTTCAGCCTTGAAGGACCTTCTTGAGAACGGTGATGATCGTGGGAAGAATGTGGTTTCTAGATTGGTAAGTTTTCTTTTGGGGAACCCTTAAGGAATACAAATGACATGGCTCTTTATCTTGTGTCATCCGGAAAACTTGTTTGTATTTTTAGAATGACTCTGATACTTTGGTTGAGGTATATAGTGTTTGTCTCGTTTGTTATCATTTCATAATATTTATGATTTATCCATTGTCATTTTAATATGTTCTACTAACTGAATGCTTTTGTTATTGGTTGAGGTATGTGGTGTTTGGCTCACAGTGTATTATTTAATAATATTTATAATATATCCATTGGCTTTTTTAATATGTTCAAGTAACTGAATGCTTTCATCTGGCTTGGTTTATTTATGTTAACTTGGATTATGCTCTAGTGTGAGAGATACCTCCAAAAACACCCGATATTATGGCTTGTTGTACTTGTATGTTAGGCATGCAATCAATTATGCTACAGTGTCATGTTATTTTCTTATTAACATCGCTATAAACTGTATAGTTATGCATTTTCAATAAAAATTGTTAGTTAGGTATATGGGAAGAACGACGAGTCTTTGGGTCCCGAGCACGAAGTCTAAAGGATGTGATGCTTGGTGAAGAAGCTCCTCGACCATTGGAATTAAGCAAAAAACGACCGCGCTCTGCATCTGTTAGAATTGTGAAACGTGACTCGAGATCCATTAAAACGGTTAGAATCATTGGACTTTTGTTTTCGTTGCAGTATAAAGTTTCATCTTGTTTTGATTACGAAGACTACAATTTCGGCTGTATAGTTTGTTTCAACTGATTTTACTTCCTTTCTAATATGACAAAACCAATTCTCACTGATATCTTCTTCTCATTCCAGAAGTTATCAATTGGGGGCACAGCTGAAAAAATAGTGTCAGCATTTCATCTGATACTCAGTGAACAGCCAAATGAGGATGAAGAGATGAGCAAGTGCAAATCAGCAGTTCATCGTGTGAGGAAGATGGAAAAAGATGTGGATATTGCTTGTTCAAGTGGTAATATCTGCTGCATTGACTTGAGTAGTGCTCTTGATTATTTTTTCCTTGTAGGGAAAGTTTGAAGTGCATGATAGGATTCTTAAAGGTTTTATCATCCAAAATTTTCTCCGTGTTGCAGCAAAGGACAAAAAACGTGAAACCTTGTCCAAAGAACTAGAAGATGACGAAAATGCTCTGAAAGAGTGCATTGAGAAACTCAAGTCAGTTGAAGCTAATAGAGCAGCACTTTTAACACAGTTAAAAGAAGCTCTTCATGAACAGGTACCTACTTATTTCATGACTTCCTATGTTAATGTTTCCACTTGATTATCAGATCATAAAGCGTTAGCTTTCTTTCTGAAATTCTTGCAGGAATCTGAGTTAGAGAATGTTCGCACACAGATGCAGGTATATATTCTGATAATTTTATTAAGTATTTCTCTATTTTACTGATTTTCTCATGTACCGTGAAGGATGGCATGTAATCGATCTCATTGTACTCTTTATTTCTTGAGATCTCCTGACGAATTCTTATCCATTTCTGGATAATGATGTTTGGTTCTGGTGTTCAGATGCTACACCTTTGGCCTATAAGAACTAGCTGAAACTTATGTCAAAACTTGAACTAGGAAGTTCATTAAGTCTTGGAAGTCTACCGAAACATGAAACTGAAGTTGGGAGTAAAGGCTTGCATAAAACTTTTTTATTTGCTTGGACCTGTATTGATTATTGTAATGTGTATTAGTAAAGTATGCATCACATTTGGTTGAATGTATGGGTAAAATGCTGTTTATCTATGGTTCGAATCTTTTGAAATGTATAGCACCTGCTAATTTTTACTGCTAGTTTATATGAAGTTTAGGAATTGTAAGCTGTGCTTATAGATGAGTAGGCTATTTTCTATGGTTGCATTTGGGAGTTGATATGTCAAAATTTTGGTCCTGCTTTTCTGGGTGTAAGCTAATTTTAGTTGCTGTTAATCACAAAGTCTATCCTGAGTATGCTAATGTGCTAAAATTTGGTTTTCTATGCTTTTGAATGATAGGTAGCACAAACACAGGCGGATGAAGCCTTTAACATGCGGAAGCGTCTTAGTGATGAAGATTATGTGTCAACCTCATCTGCTACAACAATCCTATCAATTGATGGCAATGGAAAAGCTGGAGAAATACCTAAGCGGACTGCTGCAGCCATTGCAGCTGAGGTTGCAGACAAGCTTGCGGCTTCTAGCTCCTCTCAGATGATCATGCATTCTGTTCTTTCTACATTTGCAGCTGAAGAAGCCAAAAATGTTGGTCTAATAAAGGCATCCACACAGTCAAACTCCCTCAATTCTGCCACCGATGCAATTTCAAAATCAGAGATGCCACTGGCAGTTGCAGATTCTAATGCTCTTATGCCAGCACAACCGTTGTGTGCTCCAATGA